GTGAACAAGGCTACAGTTATAAAGAAATTAGAAGAAAAATGGGTGGAAACTTAAACCAAAGGTGGCATTTCTACTGTACACTTTTCCCAAAAAGTTCCCACAATTTTGGCCACTCCTGTAGGTTTAATGATGTCGTGGCTTTTTCTGTACTGATCAATGCTCCTCAACCTTGGCCATTTCAAGATGAGTGGACTTCAACTTCCAGGATTCCCTAGCCAGCCACGCAGGCCGGGGGAATCCTGGGCGGTGAAGTCCACGCCTCTTAAAAGTTGTCACGCTTGAGAAAGACTGGATTATCAGACGATTTGACATTTCTTTTTATCCAGAATTTGTGGAATCAGCCAATTTGAGGCCCGCTTCGTAGAAAACAGCAATTGATAATGGGTGACCCAAGCCACACACAAGGGGACTGGGGGGTGTTCAAAACAAAAAAAGCTTTTGCCAACGGATGGAAGGCTTTAGGGGAACGATCCAGTCTCTTCTTAAAAGCCTCCAGTGATGGAGCATCCACAACTTCTGGTGGCAAGCTGTTCCACCGGTTAATTGTCCTTCACTGTCAGGAAGTTTCTCCTTAATTCCAGGTTGCTTCTCTCCTTGATTAGTTTCCACCCGTTGTGTTTCTTGTCCTGCCTTCTGGTGCTTTGGGAAATGGATCCCTCTTCTTTGTGGCAGCCCCTCAAATACTGGGAACACTGCTATTATGTCCCCCCCCTAGTCCTTCTTTTCTCTAGACTGGCCATATCCAATTCCTGCAGCCGTTTTTTTTTTTTTTCGTATTTCTCATGTGGCCCTTGGGAAAAATAATTGCCCACCCCTGATGTTGACCCTTTTTCTCATCCAAGCACTTAAAAACAAAAAACAAAAAAGGCGTACCTGAGTTTTCCCTTGCTGTCCGTATACAATTTTGGTGGGGATAATTTTGGTCGCCGGCTGGACACCGGAGCCTAGTCCTTTCGGCTGCGTGACGATCATTTTCGTAATGGGCCGGGTGGCTGTGATGATGGCGGGTTTCGCACCGGCTGGAACGGCTTGGATGGTTTTCTCTCCCTGAAAACAACCCTTGATCAGAACAATGTAACGTCCGAAGGGCTTTTGTTCTGCAAAGCTCCAGGGTTAGGGAATGAAAAACTTAAAAGCAAACCCCCCTCCCTTCAAGCCCTGATGATGTTACCTAGTTGGGTCATGAAACGTCTGCAAGAAAACAACCAAACTCAGAGCACCAAGGATCCCACAGTCCTCCTCCTCCTCCATCTCCATCCTCCTCCATCTCCCTCCTCCTCCTCCTTCCTCCATCCCAAAAACCCCCCTCCCTTCAAGCCCTGATGATGTTACCTAGTTGGGTCATGAAACGTCTGCAAGAAAACCACCAAGATCAGAGAGCACTAAGGACCCCACAGTCCTCCCCCCCCTCCCCACAAGCTCCCTTACATTCTAGCACTGATGATGTTACCTAGTTGGGTAATGAAACGTCCTCCAGAAGCTCAAAGAGCACCCAGGCCCCCGCACAATCTTTGTAACACCATGCTGTACACACAAATGATCCTGGGGCACTACAACCCCTGTGGAGAAAGCACCAAGGACCCCACAGTTCTCCTCCTCCTCCCCCTCCTCCCCCACAAACCCCATCTCCCTCCTAGCACTGATGATGTTACCTAGTTGGGTCATGAAACATCTGCAAGAAAACCACCCAGCTCAGAGAACACCAAGGACCCCACAGCTTTCCTCCTCCTCCTCCTCCTCCTCCTCCTCCCCATAAGCCCCCATCCCTTCTAGCACTGATGATGTTACCTAGTTGGGTCATGAAACGTCTGCAAGAAAACCACCAAGCTCAGAGAGCACCAAGGACCCCACAGTCCTCCTCCTCTTCCTCAACCCCCCTTCCCTTCTAACACTGATGGTGTCACCTAGTTTGGTAATGAAACATCTGCAAGAAAACAAGCCAGCTCAAAGACCACCCAGGACCCCTCACCATCTTTGGAACCCCATGCTGTACACACAAATGATCCTGGGTCTCTGCAACCCCTGTGGAGAAAGCACCAAGGACCCCACAATTCTCCTCCTCTTCCTGCTCTCCATAAAGCCCATTCCCTTCTAGCACTGATGATGTTACCTAGTTGGGTCATGAAACGTCTGCAAGAAAACCAACCAAGCTCAGAGAACACCAAGGACCCCACAGTTGTCGTTCTCTCCTCTCTTCTCCCCCTCCTCCTTCTCTTCTCCTCCTCCCCCCTTCCTCCTCCTCCTCTCCACACCCCCCCTCCCTTCTAGCACTGATGATGTTACCTAGTTGGGTCATGAAACGTCTGCAAGCAAACCACCAAGCTCAGAGAGCACCAAGGACCCCATAGTTGTCCTCCTCCTCCTCCTCCTCCTCCTCCTTCCTCCATTCCACAAACCCCACTTCCTTCTAGCACTGAAGATGTTACCTAGTTGGGTCATGAAACATCTGCAAAAAAACCATCCAGCTCAGAGAGCACCAAGGATCCCCTCATTTCCCAGACAGTCACTTCTCCCAAGATACAGGCAGGTTTCAGCCAAAAATAAGTTGGGTTTTACGCCCCAATTCTCGCCCTCCGATTGAATCCTTCTGAGATTCGGTCATCTCACCAAATTTGGGCCAACTACTAGCAGTGAGGAATTCGCTTCGATCACGCCGCTTCCCAGGTGGCATCTGAGGAGGTTGCTGAACACACAATGTCGTTGGACGGGCCACCGGCGGTTGGTGTTGCGGTTCTCAGGCGGATGTGTACTTACCCCCGCGTTTAGCAGCGTTGTGACGACATTTTTGCCCGGAAGACCTTGGATGGTGGTGCCCTTTCCCGCCGTTTTCTGCACAACTATGACGTTGGGCTTGGACGTCACCGGGATGGTCGTGATCTTGGTGGTGGTTCCTTGACAGAAGGAAAACAGCAAAGGGCACGGGTTTGAAAGGGGGAGCCACGCTCACGGTTGCGTCCCGGTAGTCCTCGACTTGTCATCACAAATGGGGCCCCCAACTTTCTGTTGCTAAGCGAGACAGTGGTTAAAGTGCAGGATTGCAGGGCTAACTCTGCCCACTGCCGGGAGTTCGATCCTGACCGGCTCAAGGTTGACTCAGCCTTATATGTCATATAATTATATAAGTCCTATTGCTAGCTATTTTTTATTTATTTATTTATTTATTTATTTATTTATTTATTTATTTATTTTCTTTTTCTTTCTTCTTTTTTTCTTTCTTTCTTTTTCTTTCCTTTCTTCCTTCCTTTCTTCCTCCTTCCTTCCTGTGGCACAGTGGTTAGAATGCAGGATTGCAGGGCTAACTCTGCCCACTGCCAGGAGTTCGATCCAGACCGGCTCAAGGTTGACTCAGCCTTATGTGTCATATAATTATACAAGTCCTATTGCTATTCCTTCCTTCCTTCCTTCCTTCCTTCCTTCCTTCCTTCCTTCCTTCCTTCCTTCCTTCCTTCCTTCCTTCCTTCCTTCCTTCCTTCCTTCCTGTGGCACAGTGGTTAGAATGCAGTAATGCAGATTAACTCTGCCCACTGCCAGGAGTTTGATCCTGACCGGCTCAAAGTTGACTCAGCCTTATATGTCATATAATGATATAAGTGCTATTGCTATTTCTTTATTTCTTTCTTTCTTTCTTTCTTTCTTTCTTTTTCTTTCTTTTTCTTTCTTTCTTTCTTTTCTTTCTTTCTTTCTTTTTCTTTCTTTCTCTTTCTCTTTCTTTCTTTCTTTCTTTCTTTCCTTCCTTCCTTCCTTCCTTCCCTTCCCTTCCCTTCCCGTGGCACAGTGGTTAGAATGCAGTAATGCAGACTAACTCTGCCCACTGCCAGGACTTCAATCCTGACCAGCTCAAAGTTGACTCAGCCTTCCATTCTTCTGAGGTCAGTAAAATGAGGACCCAGACTTGGGGGGGGGGGGGCAGATAGGCTGACTCTGTAAACCGCTTAGAGAGGGGCTGTAAAGCACGATGAAGCGGTATATAAGTCTAAGTGCTGTTCCTATTGTTAACTCTGCCCACTGCCAGGAGTTCGATCCTGACCGGTTCAAGGTTGACTCAGCCTTCCATCCTTCTGAGGTCAGTAAAATGAGGACCCAGATTGTTGGGAAGCAGATATGCTGACATTTGTAAACCGCCCAGAGATGGCTGTAAAGCATTGTGGGGTGGTATCTAAGTCTAAATGCTGTTCTATTATGCATTTATCCTTTTGTTCTTTAGTTCCTATTGCCTATAGATCAGTGTTTCTCAACCTTGGCAACTTTACGATGTGTGGACTTCAACTCCCAGAATTCTCCAGCTAGTGTTGCTAGCTGGAGAATTTTGGGAGTTGAAGTCCATGCATCGTAAAGTTGCCAAGGTTGAGAAACACTGCTATAGATTTTGCAAAAATGTTCTCTTTTTAACATGGTAAACTGACCTGAGTTACCTCAGGGGTAAGATGGGCAGTCAATACATTTAATAATAACACAGGTAGTCCTCGACTTAGGACTGCAACTCAGCCCCCAAATTTAGATTGCTGGGTGGGACATTTCTTAAGTGAATTTTGCCCCATTTTACGAGCTTTCTCGCCGCCGCTGTAAAGCGAATCGCTGCCATTGTTCAATTAGCAACGGGGTGGTTAAGCAAATTTGGCATTTCCCTCCCCCCCCCCATTGATTGATTTTGATTGTCAGAAGGTCGCCCAAGGGGAATTACGTGACACTGCAACCGCCATAAATATGAGTCGGTGGCCCAAGCGTTCTGAATTTCAACCGCGCGACGGCGGGGAGGCTGCAACAGTCGCTAAAACGAGTCATAGGTTGCTTTTCAGTGCTGTGGTCAACTTGGAACGGTCACTAAGCGGACTCCTATAAGTCGAGGACTACCTGTGCTGAGAAGATTAAGAGCCCCCGGAGCCCCCATGACCCTGGGAAAGAAATCAAACGGTTTCTAGAGCAATTGCAAGCGTCGGATACCTTTTTGCTGAAAATAGGTCTTCATCAAGGAGTTACCTTTAAAAAGAAGAAAAAAAAGCGAAAATAAAACAGCTTTGGTCCGCAAACATTATTTTTTTTTTTTTTGTCATTTTGCTGGGGAAAAAGATTCTCAGAAAGGACCGAGAGGTTGCAAAAATTGGGCGCTCGCTGCCCAATTTACATCGCAGGCAGTCCTCGGCTTACGACCACATTGGGGCTCCCCAGTGGCTAAGCGAGACAGTTGTTTTGCCCCCCCCCCCCGTTTTACGTCCTTCCCGGCCACAATTATCCAGTGAATCACTGCAGTTCTTAAGTTAAGTAACACAGTCATTCAGTGAATCCCCCCCAGGTCGCAAAAGGGGATCACGTCACACACACACACACACACACACACACACACACACACACAGACACTGCAACCCTCATAAATTTGAGCCAGTTGCCAAGCGTCTGGCTTTGGATCCCGTCACCGTGGGGATGCTGCTGCAACGGTCGTAAAAACGGCCTTTTATTTCCGCGCCGTCGTAATTTCGGTCGCCGAACAAAAGGTCGTAAGGCGAGGATTACCTCTAGAAAGGAAGTCGGGATCGGGCGTCTCATAGCGAGGTTCACTTCCTTCCCTTTTTAATCTATTTTTTTTCCCCCAACTGGGCCGCAGCTCCAAAATCCCCTTGATCACAACCGACAATATTCCTCACACCTCTTAACTGGCAATTGTTAAGTGTGCACTTTGGAAGAAGCCCACAGTGGGAGACACCCAATCCTTACGAACGAAGGCAAACCTGCCTGTCCCGAGGATCACGTTGCGGGATCCAATCTGGGTCTGTCGCCGGGATCAAAGGTTTAAGTCTTCCGAGCTTTTGGACTCCTACGGGTGCGTCTCTCTACTGGAATGTGTGCTTTGGGCTATCCCTGTGTGTGTGGTGTTTATAGGGTGCCTGTTGTGTTTGGCTTTTTAGCTGTTGTTTGGGGTGTCGATGGCCGGTTATTAAGGGGCTGGCTGTTGTTTCCTTGTGCTTGCCAAACCCTCGGCTCCTAAGTGCTTGATAAGCTGGGGGTAAATCAGAACTCCTGTTGACCGGAGAGGGGCCCGTTTCATTTCCCGGGCTTCAATCCCTTCCCTGGCTGTTTTTGTACCTGCCCGTCCAACAATCTGAGTAGCTGAGAAATTGAATATATAATAATAATAACAATAATGGTGATGATGATGATGATAATGATGTTGTTGTTGTTGTTGTTGTTGTTGGAAGGGACCTTGGAGGTCATCTAGTCCAACCCCCTGCTCAGGCAGGAAACCCTATACCATTTCGGACAGATGGCTGTCCAGTCTCTTCTTAAAAACTTCCAGTGTTGGAGCGTTCACTGCTTCTGGAGGCAGGTTGTTCAACTGGTTAATTGTTCTCACTGCCAGAAATTTCTCCTTAGTTCTAGGTTGCTTTTCTCCTTGATTAGTGTCCATCCATTGCTTCTTAATAATAATAATAAAGTTGGAAGGGACCTTGGAGGTCATCTAGTCCAACCCCCTGCTCAGGCAGGAAACCTTATACCATTTCAGACAAATGGCTGTCCAGTCTCTTCGTAAAAACCTCCAATGATGGAGCATTCACAGCTTCTGGAGGCAATTGATTGTTCTCCCTGTCAGGAAATTCCTCCTTAGTTCCAGGTTGCTTCTCTCCTTGGTTAGTTTCCATCCGTTGCTTCTTGTCCTGCCTTCAGGCGCTTTGGAGGATAGCTTGACTCCCTCTTCTTTGGGGCAGCCCCTCAGATATTGGAACGCTGCTATCCTGTCCCCCCTTGTTTATTGCAGAGCCACATACAGCAGGTACCATACAAATACCGCACACAGAGTAGACCAAAGCAGACCTTCTGCAAGAGAGAACTTCCCTCAGGATGGACTCCAGCATGACTCCGAACGCTCGGAAGACTAAACCTCTGGTCCCGGCGACCGATCCTGCAACACCTAATCCTATTCTGCAAAGGTTTTGGTGGCACTGATTGGAAATGGGTAACCAAATGCATCTATTGTGTTTTCCCTTCCATTCCCTGGTCCCACTCCCAGTCCTTAGTCACTATAGCACAGGGCTTTTCAACCAGTGGTAGGGGTACCACCTGTGGTACGTTGGCACCTGGCAGGTGGTACGCGACCATCCTAGAAAAGTGGTAGCGGGGGAGGGGAATGAGCTGAACCGGTGGCAGCACCGCACAAGCCTGAGCGAGAGACGGCTGGAGCTGCAGGGCTGTCAGGGCTCAGCGGAAGCGCCAGGATCAGCGCCAGGATCCAGCTGGAGTTCAGCGCTGATCCTGGTGCTTCTGCTGAGCCCAGAAGAAGCGCCGATCAGCTGGAATGTTGCAGCCTCTCCAGGGTCTTGTGATTTACATTCAGATGCTTGGCAACCGATTCATATTTATGACGGTCACAGTGTCCCAGGGTCATGTGAAGGGACCAAAACCTGCTGCAACCACCCAGCAGACGGGGGAGGGGGGGGGGATAAAAACCACACACCCCACACCCGACCCCGCTGCCAATCCTCAACAGAAATGCTCACAACAATAAAAACCTCGGACAGGAGGAAGAGCGCGGCCGGGCGGGCAGGCAGGTGTCTTGCTCGGCTGTGGCTTGGGGGGCACTTTTTTCAGTGCCATTGTAACTTCAAACAGTCACTAAGCGAACTGTTGTAAGTCGAGGACTACCTATACTTTATCACTTTTTTTCTTTTTTTTTTTGGTCATCAGGTTTTTGACACCTTGCTAGGCGACTGGTGGTACTCGGATATTCCCATATCCTAAAAGTGGCACAATGAGTGAAAAGGTTGAAAAGCCCTTGCTATAGCACACACTGAAGCTAGCTTTTATAAACCCCTTCCTGGATTTTCCACTGCCTTCCTTTGGGGGGGGGGTCTGTTATGGCTGAAACCGTAAAAATGGCAGCAAAATAAGCTGAGTGCATCAACCCACCTGTCTCTAAAGTTCAGGGGTTCTTTTTTTTCTTCCCTTGATTCATTCTCCAATTAAACAGGGGCAGGTGCCTACTTACCAGACACAAGGTTGCTGCTGATGATCTTGCCTCCCAGGGTGGCGAGGGATTTGGGGACGACCGTGATGATGCTGCCGCTGGTGGTCTTCACGTAGGTGGCTGCACCAGGTGTGCCCGTCACCCGTGCCCCTAGGGATGGGCTCATGGTTGGACGGGTGTACGTCGCTTGTGTCCCTGGTATAAGCACACCAAAAAAAATAAAATAAAACAGAGTAAGATATCTGGCGTGAATGTCTAAAACTTGCAAAAGATGTGTTTTCTTTCCACCTAAATCAGTGATGGCGAACCTTTGAGAGACTGAGTGCCCAACCCCCCCGTCCCTGCTCCACCGTGCCCGCTGGACCACCCACCACCTCCACGACCCACCACAGATCACCCAGGCAGCCCAGCAGCGCCATGGTGGCCACACCCTCCGCCCGTGCCCTGCAGCAGCATCTGCGCGCGATGGGGTGCAAGGGCGGAGTCTTGTCCCCGCTGCCTGGCTACCATGTCCTTGGCTGCGCAGCACTGCGTGTGCAGTGCCCGGGGGCTGCCGGTGAGGAGGGGGCCATGGGAGGAGGCGGGGCTGGGGCGACGGTGCGTGTGCCCACAGAAGAGAGCTCCCGAGTGCCGCCTCTGGCACGCGTGCCATAGGTTTGCCATCGCTGACTTTAATGATTCAGGGAGCCAGTGGATGATTTTTTTAAGACTTGTGAATTTCAACTCCCAGAATCCTTCAGCTTGCCCAAGTCACCACTGTGGAGAGATGGCAGCAGAGAACTTTTGAGTTTTTCCAGTTTGGTCTAGTGGTTAAGGCACCAGGCTAGATACTGGGAGAGAGGTGAGTTCTAGTCCCGTTTTAGGCATGAAAGCCGACTGGATGAGTCTGAGCCAATCACCAGGAGATGGTGAGTTCTAGTCCCGCCTTGGGCATGAAAGCCAGCTGGGTGATTCTGGGCCAATCACCAGGAGGCGGTGAGTTCTAGTCCCGCCTTAGCCATGAAAGCCAGCTGAGTGACTCTGGGCCAATCACCAGGAGGCGGTGAGTTCTAGTCCCGCCTTGGGCATGAAAGACACCTGGGTGACTTTGGGCCAATCACCAGGAGACTGAGAGTTCTAGTCCCGCCTTAGCCATGAAAGCCGGCTGGGTGACTCTAGGCCAATCACCAGGAGACGGTGAGTTCTAGTCCCGCCTTAGCCATGAAAGCTGACTGGGGGACTCTGGGCCAATCACCAGGAGATGGTGAGTTCTAGTCCCGCCTTATTCATGAAGCATGCCTGCCCTGGTTGAGGAATTCTGGGAGTTGAAGTCCACAAGTCATAAAAGTTTGAAGACCCCTGCATTAAGCGAATGCAACGATTCACTTAACAACTGTGGCAAAAAAAAGTTGTAAAATTGGGCCTGGCTCACTTAACAACCGCCTCGCTTAGCAACGGAAATTCTGCTCACAACTGTGGCCGTAAATCAAGGACTACCTGTAATGGGATTGTAAACTGGCCCATTTTTTTAAAAAAAATATAGACGTGTAAATACATCGCTTGTTCTGCCCTGTGAAGATCAGTTTGTGAGTCGGCAGCCGGGGATGCCCCCCCAGCGGAAGGGACTCCGGAGGCAGCTCCCCCGTGTCTGACCACCGCCGGTAGGAACGGTCACTTGCTCCCCCCCCACCATCCCTAGTTTGGCCCGCCTTGGAAACTGGCCAGGATGGACAGAGTGACTCACCGGCAGGAGCTGTGACCAGTTTGGTGGTCATGATGGTCCCGTTGCTGCTCACCACCATGATGGGAGAATTGCTGCTGCTGGGCAGAGTGGCTGTGACGGGCTTGGGGAGGATTTTGCTGGGCTGCACCTGTTGAGTGATGATTTTGACACCTGGGGAAGAGACGTTGGATGGGGTGGCAGGGAAAATGGAGGGAGGGAGGGAGGGAGGAAGAAAAATGGGGAGGGAGGGAGGAACGAAGGAAGGAAGGAAGGAGAGAGGAAGGGAGGGGGGAAGGAAGGAAAATGGGTAGGGAGGGAGGAAGGAAGGAAGGAAGGAAGGAAGGAAGGAAGGAGAGAGGAAGGGAGGGAGGGGGGAAGGAAGGAAAATGGGGAGGGAGGAAGGAAGGAAGGAAGGAAGGAAGGAAGGAGAGAGGAAGGGAGGGAGGGGGGAAGGAAGGAAAATGGGGAGGCAAGAACGAAAGAAGGAAGGAAGGAAGGAAGGAAGGAAGGAAGGAAGGAAGGAAGGAAGGAAGGAAAGAAAATGAGGAGGGAGGGAGGAAGGCAGGAACGAACGAAGGAAGGAAGGAAGGAGAGAGGAAGGGAGGAAGAAGGAAAATGGGGAGGGAGGAAGAAAGGAAGGAAGGACAGAAAATCAGAGAACGGTTAAGGATACAGCTAAGATCCTAGAGCAAGTTGACAAAACATTAACACTCAGAGAATATTAAAGTCCAGGTCGTCCTTGACTTACAACCATCTGCTTAGTGAACATTCAAAGTTACAATGGCACTGAAAAAAGTGACTCGTGACTTTCACCCGACCGCTGCAGCATCCCCACGCGATCTGAATTCGGACGCTCGGCCACCGGCGTGTATTTATGACGGTCGCAGCGTCCCGGGCATGTGTGTATCTGTGTGTGTGTGTGTGTGTGTGTGACGTGATCCCCTTCTGCCACCTTCCCACAAGCCAAGTCAGTGGGGGAAGCCGGATTTGCCCTCGCAACCCTGTTCCTCGCTTAACGATCGCAGCGATTCACTGAACAAGCGTGGCGAGAAAGGTCATAAAAAAAGGGACGGAACTCGCGTAACCACCGTCTTGCTTAGCAGCGGAAATTTTGGGGTCAATCGGGGCGGGTAATAATAATAATAATAATAATAATAATAATAATAATAATAATAATAATAATAAAGTTGGAAGGGACCTTGGAGGTCATCTAGCCCAACCCCCTGCTCAGGCAGGAAGCCCTATACAATTTCAGACAAATGGCTGTCCAGTCTCTTCTTAAAAACTTCCAGTGTTGGAGCATTCACAGCTTCTGGAGGCAGGTTGTTCCACTGGTTAATTGTTCTCACTGCCAGAAATTTCTCCTTAGTTCTAGGTTGCTTTTCTCCTTGATTAGTTCACCACTTCTGGAGGCAAGGAGTTCCACTGGTTAATTGTTCTCACTGTCAGGAAGTTTCTTCTGACAGCGAAGAGCTTCCTCTATCCGCCCCATCGCCGGGACGATACGTTCCTCGTTTGGAAAATACCTGATTCTTGCTTGATCTGGATGGTGGGCTTAATGGTGGGGGGCAGCGGAGACGGCTGGGGGGGTTGGGGTGGCTGGGCGGGAGGCTGGGCGGCCGGCGAAGCTGAAGTCAGATGCTGCTTGGGAAGCTGGGCCAGGATCTGGGCGGACGTTCCCACCAGGCTCTTGGGGGAAGGTAGCCTGGCCGAGGCCACCTTGATGGCGGAAGTGCACACACCTGGAAGAGAGAACGGGGGGGGGGGGTGTGTGTGACAGGTCTGGTATGGGTTTTTTTCCCCCCCAATTTCCTTCTATTTCCACACAAACCTTGGCATACCGCTGCCTTCCCAGGAATTGGGGTGGTTTGCGGAAGGACGACGAAAGGTAAGAATAACAAGAGTAACAGAGTTGGAAGGGACCGTGGAGGTCTTCTAGTCTAACCCCCTGCTGGAACCGGAGACCCCCAGACCAGCGCTTCTCAGCCTTTCCTTCACCCCAGACCCCCTTTAAATAAGCTTTGGTGGCCAAAGGCCATCGCCAAGGACCTTCAAGATTTAACTCGAGATTTAAGTCGGAATCCCAAAGGTGCTTTTTCGCCAGGCGGCTGGACTTTTTTCTTTGAAGACGTTTCGCTTCTCATCCGAGGAGCTTCTTCAGCTCTGACTTCCATTCCCCACCGTCCAGTCAGAGCTGAAGAAGCTTCCTGGATCAGAAGCGAAACGGCTTCAAAGAACAGAATAGAAAAGTGATGGCGAACCTTCTAGAGTCCGAGTGCCCAAACTGCAACCCAAAACCCACTTATGCATCGTCGGGTGCCGGGTGGGCGTGGCCCATTGGGTGGGCGTGGCCCATTGGGTGGGCGTGGCTGCGGTGGTAACGGCAGACTGGGTGGGACTAAAAAGTTCAATCAATCAATTCCAACTTTGCAAGATCTTTTTTTTCCCGCGAGAAGTTGAAATTGACTGATTGATTGAAGCTTTTTTTTTTCTGAACACGGCGG